ACCTCTCTCACTCCCCTACCCTCCTCTCTTGATGCCACTACCTCTCTCACTCTCTTTCTCTATCCTTCCTTGATGTCTCTACCTCTCTCACTCTCTTTCTCTATCCTCCCTTGATGTCTCTACCTCTCTCACTCTCTTTCTCTATCCTCCCTTGATGTCTCTTACCTCTCTCACTCTCTTTCTCTATCCTTCCTTGATGTCTCTACCTCTCTCACTCTCTTTCTCTATCCTCCCTTGATGCCTCTACCTCTCTCACTCCCTTACCCTCCTCCCCCCCTGATGCCACTACCTCTCTCACTCCCTTACCCTCCTCTCTTGATGCCACTACCTCTCTCACTCTCTTTCTCTATCCTTCCTTGATGTCTCTACCTCTCTCACTCTCTTTCTCTATCCTCCCTTGATGTCTCTTACCTCTCTCACTCTCTTTCTCTATCCTTCCTTGATGTCTCTACCTCTCTCACTCTCTTTCTCTATCCTCCCTTGATGCCTCTACCTCTCTCACTCCCTTACCCTCCTCCCCCCCTGATGCCACTACCTCTCTCACTCCCTTACCCTCCTCTCTTGATGCCACTACCTCTCTCACTCTCTTTCTCTATCCTTCCTTGATGTCTCTACCTCTCTCACTCTCTTTCTCTATCCTCCCTTGATGTCTCTTACCTCTCTCACTCTCTTTCTCTATCCTTCCTTGATGTCTCTACCTCTCTCACTCTCTTTCTCTATCCTCCCTTGATGCCTCTACCTCTCTCACTCCCTTACCCTCCTCCCCCCCTGATGCCACTACCTCTCTCACTCCCTTACCCTCCTCTCTTGATGCCACTACCTCTCTCACTCTCTTTCTCTATCCTTCCTTGATGTCTCTACCTCTCTCACTCTCTTTCTCTATCCTCCCTTGATGTCTCTTACCTCTCTCACTCCCCTCTTCTCAATATCTCTCGCCTTTCCTTTTTAATTTGTATTTTATTCCGCCCTTCCAGAATTACCCTCTTACCTTTCTCTTCTCATCTTTGCACTTTTCTTTACGATGTCTTTTTTTCAAACATTTACGTCTCCTGAAACACTTAACAAATTTTGATCTCATTGCCTTGATCATTTGCACATTTTTTTGTTTATATTTTGTATTATAAATATTTAAATTGTTTATTTTGTTGCATTTTTTAGTTTTGCATTTGCTTATTTTTCGTATGTTAGTATTCCTATAATATTATATTATATATATATATATATATATATATATATATATATATATATATATATATATATATATATATATATATATATATATAATATATATTAGTATATTTTGGTAGCAGTCTTTCTTGTAAACATATATTGTTGATTATGACCGAAAAGGTAAGATTAATAATTCCTAACACGAATCTTCTCAATATTTCTTATGTTTTTCTTCACTGTCGGTGGTAATAAAAATAACAATTCTCCGAAATTCATTTTTTAATTGTCTGACGCCTGAACGCGTTTCGTAATTCGTATTACATTTTCAAGAGGCACTCTTCTTGAGCCTCCTTCTTCTCTCTCTCTCTCTCTCTCTCTCTCTCTCTCTCTCTCTCTCTCTCTCTCTCTCTCTCTCTCTCTCTCTCTCTCAATTTCTAACACATGGCGACTAAATATTAAGACTCCAAGTGAAGGTGTAAACGACGAGTGACGCTGCTACTATCAGGAGTGCCTGGCGGGGAACACCCTGCCCACCACCCTCCACCTCTCACCGTTTAATCTTGGATATGCACGGGGCAAATATCTCGTTTCCGGTCCACCGGGCTGTGAGAAGTTTCTCCCGTCTCAGGTGCAGTTGTCTGGGAGACTGTAGCTCGGTGGCTGGCGCTACGGTACGCACATATCTTCCATCACGAGGAAGACTGTGCGTAAGATGGAGGGCAAAACAATCCCGAGGTTATCTCATGATTTACAGTTCAATCCCCCTGTAGTGCACACCTTGAAAACTACCAGCTAGGCGTCTAGACCCCCGGGTATTAATCGTTCTCTCTAGTGCATTAGGTAACGCTCTCTCCCTTGTATTAGTCATGCACACTTGTTCACCATTCTTCATGACATTATTTTTTACATGGATTTTGTCCTTGCTGGGAATAATTTGTATGACATTTCCAATGTAATATTTGTCCTGCTGGCAGTTGATGGCAATTATCCTGGATATTAATTTAATATCAGCTCCTCTTGTAAAATAATCTCATAGGACTCTCTGGACTCCAATTCTTTATGTTTCTAATTATATAATTGGTAAGGAATACCTTCCTCCCTCGGTTCCAAGCATCATCACCAGATGCATTGATTCAAATAACAGGTTGTTTGTTCCCCCTTAGAACTTAATATGTTGTCCAACCTATTGACCACAGCACCTTCGAGTCACCAGGGAACACATCTACATCTGGACTGTCTTTGCTACAGGACGTCTAGTTCACATCTCAGGGTAACCAAAATGCTCTTCATTTATCTAGTAATGTTTATGGATCTGTCTTTGGCCGCGATAAGACCTACAATACCTACAATGGTCCATGTTCGACCTCTCGTGGGTTTTCTTCGCCCTAGCAACTCTGAGCAAATAACGCAGGTATAACAATGAAGCAACGTTGATAAGTGGGTCCTTTGTTGAGGAAACACAGCTCGGGCATGTTATGTCCAGCGGGGCTCCACTTACCTTGGTCATTCTTTCACCACCTATGCCACGAATTCCAACACCCTTTGTCCATTTTCGATCACCCTTGGACAATAATCGATCACCGTTGGTGCATATTCGATCACCCTTGGTCCAGCCTATCTTGGTCCTCAGAAATATCATTACTATAGTACTGGTCATTTCATTATAGCCCCGTGGATGTCTATCCCCGTAACTGTACGCTTCTCGCCAGCTTTCTGCCTCTTTCGCAATTTCCCGTTTTCCGTCTTTTTGTATATCACAAGTGATCCAAGAAATGGCTCACAACAGTCTCTGAACAAGGCAGGTGCGTAATACGTTGTGTGTTTTGATTGCAGATTATGTGATTTGTGTGTGTGTGTGTTGGGAGGGATCTGGGGTTACTCGCGTTTTGGGCTTTTTACGGGGGCGCATGAGGTTTGCCTGGTGGTTGTTGCAGCGCGCTCTTCCGGTGGAGTTTGGTCGATGGTTCATGGATGCCTATGTTCGAGGGGTTGCTTTTGGGTCGGTGGGTGCGTCGGTGATTGGGTGATTGTGGTTGGTCTTGGGTGGGGTTGGGGTGTCGGTGTGTGATGGGGGTGGGGAGGGTGGTGGTTTGGGGGGGGGGGTGGCATGGGGGAGAAGGTGTGAAGAATTAACATGGGAGAGGAGGGGGTTGGGGTGAAGAGAGATAGCACGGTGGGAGGGAGAGTCGATAGTGAGCTTGGGGCATGGGGTGTCCCAACAGCATGGATAGCGAGGTGGTATAGAAACGACATCCTCCAGAGCAAATCCGGCCCTAAGCGTGCAGGCGCACGGGGGTGGGTGGAGGCAGGCTCAGAGATGGAGCTTATACAAACGAGGTGCAGAAATCCGGATCTCGGGCTGGATTATTGGGTCTCCGTCTGGTGCCGACGCTCAATGAAAAAAAATTAATATGGTTCTTGATTATTTCCAGTCGACTTGGAATCAATACGAAGGTTGCGCGTGCCGGATATTAATGAGTCTGTGCATTTTAAGATGTTTTAAAATGTTTATATATCCATATAACTCATGTAGCATTTCCTTATGTACATTTGATTAATCAGATCATTATTATAGTATTACTATGATGGAGAAATTTTCATAAAAGACCGATATTGTAAAAATAACAATAATGAAAAAAAAATAATAATATTTTTGGTATTAAAGGTACATAGTTTGGAGAAAGTGTACACAACAACAGAGCAAGTCAACGTTAACAAATTCAATAAAAAGTAAATACCATTAGTTATTATTGATTAGTTATAAGACAACTGATAACATGAGTATGAGTTGTTCCTGGTATTAAATAATCCTCTTGTGCCGGACACCATTTGGTGACATTTATTAAGCATGAGTAATGTAGATGAGAGGAAGTAATATAGATATCCAAACTCACATTTGTTTGGATATAACTCAATTGTTAAGAATCGTTAATAAAATGCATCTCAAATGTTTAATTAAAATAATTAATATGGAGTAAGTAGTGGTTTAAAAATATTACGTACAATGTTTTGAATAAATGTATTTTTTTTTTCGTTGAAGGTTAAAGATCAGGCAAAAGCTTCTGTCAAGTGGAACACTGAACTTCTTATTCTGTTTTTTCTAATGGCATTTTAGCTCGAGCGTTGTGAAAGTGTTCTTGTTACGGACCCGAGTCCAGCGTCGGAGCACGGAGCAGTGACGACAACGCCATCTGTGAGTCCGCTCCCGAAACCCACTCCAAATGGACGGTGCCATCTAGTGGTGACAGGATAGGCCAGCAATAAGTGTTGGATTCCTGTCCTAGTCAGCTCATGACGTAGCCGCTGCTGACCTCTGGTGAGGTAGTGCTTAGACAGTGAACGCCATCTATGGAGTAAAGAGGTGGACGTTTCTGTCTAAGCTTGTGAGTGAAGCGTCCCAGTATTAATGACGTGTCTGATTGCAGAGTCGACCTGGGACTGCTGTGTTGGACGATAGAGCAGTCTACCCAAAGCAGCCAAGGCCTCTTCACGAGTCTGCTTTGAAGAAGCTGTGAGCCACCCCCGGCCGAACTCTGTTGAGAGTGTAATAGCCTGCCTGAGGCGTTGCAGTGTTGGGAATCGCCTTATCCGGGGCCAGCTGGTGGAAGAGACTAACCACTGTGGTGCTGTTTGAGAGTGACTAGCGGGTCACAGGAAGCTCCTGCCTAGGGCTCGCAACCCTAGTATTAGTTGTGGAATGGCCTGACAGCGAGGCTGACCGGTACCTGCCAGCTACAGGCTGGATTGTGGTTGAAGGCCATCACGACGGGGCACCCAGTGGGACTGTGATTTGGCTGGCTTGTGGCCAGTGTAAATTCGTCGTAGAGTTATCGTGGATTCTTCGTGAGCCACGGAAGCAGAGACCAGGGCTACCCAGAAGAATCATCGCCGAGTGTTGAGCGTCTTCAGAGAGGGAGACCTCATTGTACATTGTGTAGTAATAATCCCCTTTTATGACTTTAAATTACGGTGGTGGGAAAAAAAATATATATATATATAATATATATTATATATATTATAATACTTTTCTTCAATGTACCTTCCTTGATAGCTTTGACTTGCATTACTGAACACACCCCTTGAGAGCCTCTACTAACTTGGGGCCGGATTCCAAAACTCTACTACCATCAGAGAAGAACCCGGTTGCGTCCCGGTAGGGCCGTAACATTTCATGCATTTGAACAAGTTTCTACCCGTTCTCGCGTTTTAATTTGTGCATTCTCTACATGTTCTCTTTTGTCTCTTTCATTATCTTTTTTCGTTTTCGCATTCTCATGTGCTCTCTACATGCTCTTGCGTTCTCTATCAGTTACTGTTTTTGGGTAAAAAATGACCACATGGAGACCAGTGGTATCGATGTGTCAAACTAGTACACAGGTTCCTGAGCCAATTGGTACGAGGGCCCGCCATTATTGTGATAGTTTCCCCCTATAGCACATTTATCTGAACGCTACGGGAAATTACTTCACCATTGTGACGTATTGAATCAGAGGACAGTTGTTTTACCATATGGTACACTTATAAAAAAGTTATGAAAGTTGTAAAGTCAGGACGCAAGTACACTCTTGCGTCCTTGGCCCCAATCGGAGCTTGGGGCTCAGGACGCAAGAGCAAGAGCAGCTCAGGAGAGGAGGAAGATGCACGAAAATGAGCGTGTGCGTGTGTGTGCGTGTGGTGTGTGTGTGGTTTGTACTCGCCTAATTGTGCTTGCGGGGGTTGAGCTTTGGCTCTTTGGTCCCGCCTCTCAACTGTCAATCAACTGGTGTACAGATTCCTGTGTGTGGTGGATGTGTGCGTGTGATGTGTGTGTGTACTCGCCTAGTTGTGTCTGCAGGATCGAGCAATGACTCTTGGATCCCGCCTTTAGAGCATCGGTTGTTAACAGCAATGACTCCTGTCCCATTTCCCTATCATACCTGGTTTTAAAATTATGAATAGTATTTGCTTCCACAACCTGTTCCTGAAGTGCATTCCATTTTCCCACTACTCTCACGCTAAAAGAAAACCTTCTTAACATCTCTGACTCATCTGAGTTTCAAGCTTCCATCCATGTCCCCTCGTTCTGTTACTATTCCGTGTGAACATTTCGTCTATGTCCACTCTGTCAATCCCCCTGAGTATTTTATACGTTCCTATCATGTCCCCCCTTTCCCTTCTTCTTTCTAGTGTCGTAAGGCGAAGAAAGTCGAAAGGCTTTCGGACAGTCGAAGAAAATATAGTCCGCCCAGCCTTCTCTTTCTTGCTTAATCTTTATGACCTGGTCGTAGAATTCTTATAAACCACTTATTCGCGTAACACCCTGCTAAATAGTTTATCTTAATCTACCCTGTCACTTCCTGTGAGAATTTCATAGGTGGTGATCATGTCTAACCTAACTCTACTGTCTTCCAGTGTTGTGAGGTAAAGTTCCAATAATCTTTGTTCGTATCTCATTCCACTCGGCTCGGGGACCAGTCAGATGGCATTCATCTGAACTTTTTCAAACTTCGTTTTGTGTTTGACCAGATATGAACTCTATAATGGAGTCGCATACTGCAGTATTGGTCTGACATGAGAGTTACATGGTTCTGAATGTGTCTCTGTCTGTGTGTCTGTGTGTGTGTGTGTGTGTGTGTGTGTGTGTGTGTGGGGGGGGGTGTGTGTGGGGGTGGGTGTGTGTGTGTGTGTGTACCGATATAAAGTTAGTCATGGTTAAATATATATATATAGAATGATGTAGAATGTGGTTGGTGGTGTGCACCTTTTCTCGTACTCGTATTATGGCGTTATTGGTCAGCAGAGCAAAGTTTGTGTTACAGGGATTTAAGGTTCCGTGTAACGAAGAGGCATGTGAATATATTGACTTTTTTACTATGTTTGTGTAATCTGAACTATCCTTTCGCATAATTAATCAGAAATCATGAACCACACACACGAGACATAACCACGCCCTTCTCTGCCTTGCTAGGATGCACGGAGCCGCCACGGACGATCGAAAACGCTTTGCCTGGCTTCCACCCAACGTAAGTACCCTGCCTCTGCTCGCCACACCTTGTGAGTACCCTGGCTCTGCTCGCCACACCTTGTGAGTACCCTGCCTCTGCTCGCCACACCTTGTGAGTACCCTGCCTCTGCTCGCCACACCTTGTGAGTACCCTGCCTCTGCTCGCCACAACCTTGTGAGTACCCTGCCTCTGCTCGCCACACCTTGTGAGTACCCTGCCTCTGCTCGCCACACCTTGTGAGTACCCTGCCTCTGCTCGCCACACCTTGTGAGTACCCTGCCTCTGCTCGCCACACCTTGTGAGTACCCTGCCTCTGCTCGCCACAACCTTGTGAGTACCCTGCCTCTGCTCGCCACAACCTTGTGAGTACCCTGCCTCTGCTCGCCACACCTTGTGAGTACCCTGCCTCTCCTCGCCACAACCTTGTGAGTACCCTGCCTCTGCTCGCCACACCTTGTGACTTCCTGGGATTCACCTGAATCCACAGGAAGTCTGGAGGCCTCTACTGAAACCTAAGTTATTCATGTAGCGCCCGTGCCCTGCTATAGGTAAAGTAATTCATCAACCATGTATACTGTTGCGGACGGTTCGTCGCTTAAGTTCCTAAACACCGTTTTTATATTTGTCGGTTTTGCATACGTTCTTGGTTGTATTTTCAGTTTACGATCGCCTCTATTGTTAAAGGTTAGTTCTGTACCCACACACTGATCGTTTTTTTTTTCTTCTCTTACCCATGACGGCTCCCCTTGCTCTACTGTGTTGTTTCTCTTGGCCTCCTTTATCCTTTAGAAACTGTCAACACACTACAACCATATAATAATAACCAAATAATTAGAACCAAATAACGCTCCCATACTTCTCTGACCTACCCTTAGCCTCACCCCAGATCAAATTCTATACTTACTACAGAACCAATCCAATTATTACACCAGACCCAATCGAATAGTTAACTCAAATTTAAGCATATCCATACCCCTGACGCAATCTTCTCTTTACCCCTGACGCAATATTATCCATACCCCAGGCTCAATTCAATCCCTACCTCAGACTCGATCCTAGTCTTACTCAAGACCAAATCCTATCCTTATCCCAGGCCCAAACCTACATTTACCTCACACACATAACCAGCTACGTGAATCACGAATTAGTGAAACCCAGCTAGGTGAGGGAAAGATAGGTAAAGCACAGCTAGGATAGGTTTATGTAAATCACAGCCATGTGAATATAGCTAGCTGAAGGCTGACTAGGTGAAAGCCAGCAACGTTAAAAAATAAGTTAGGTGACCCACAGCTTGGTGAACCACAGTTTGATGAATCACAGCTTGGTGACCCACAGCTTGATGAATCACAGCTTGGTGACCCACAGCTTGATGAATCACAGCTTGGTGACCCACAGCATGGTGACCCACAGCTTGATGAATCACAGCTTGGTGACCCACAGCTTGATGAATCACAGCTTGGTGACCCACAGCATGGTGACCCACAGCTTGATGAATCACAGCTTGGTGACCCACAGCTTGGTGAACCCACAGCTTGGTGACCCACAGCTTGGTGACCCACAGCTTGGTGACCCACAGCTTGGTGAACCACAGCTTGGTAAACCACAGCCAGGCGAAGCACACTTATGAATATATAACAGAACAACGACACAAATAAACACATTTCTCACCCATGGTAAAAACCAGAACAAAAACTGCTCTACAGCTTGCCAGTAAGCTACGTCGTAATTATATGTTTCATTGGACATAAATTTATAATCATAATTGCCAACTAATGAAATTACACCGCACAACAGGTGAATAGATTATTAATTCAGTTATTTTATTAGAGTGAAATCATACTGCGCTGCAATTTTAGGAATAGGGATATATGTTGCGAGTCATTCCAATTATTAATTATATCGTTACAGTATGATAATATAATCATGTTGTCCTTTGTAATGCAGTCTATATCTTTAAGAGGGAATCCCGCCAGACACACACCGAAACTACGACGTTGCTACAACGTTCGAACAAGTTTTAACACCTCCTAACCAGTTACAACAACCAATATATCAAGTTGTAACAACGTTCTATTACTTCATAAACACGTTAAGCCAAGATGCAACAACTTTATTACAAGTTGTAACAAGCGGAAAATAGAGACAGTTTCGGTTTGTGTTTCCAGGGAATGTCTGCCTCACTGTTCAAAGGTTTGAGGCCACACGCTTCCCGTTGGCCTCATTCAACTTTACCACATGAACCATGTGGGGTATAGGAGTGACACAGGCAAGTTTGGGTAGGCTTCCGCGCAACACTTCATGAAATATCGGCATCTAAACGCCTACAAACCCCTCACCCCCCCCCCCCCCACAATCCCGTGTAATTTTCATGGTCTGAAATATTGGTTATGTTGACCATAGACAATGCTGTTTCGGTGCTTCGTTATATAATTTTCCTGCGAGAGGGAGAGGGATGGGAGGAGAAGGGAGGAGGCAAGGGGCGTCTGAAGAGAGCGAAGGAAAAAGAGGGGTGCTCGAAGATAAGGAAGCAAAGGGGGGGGGCTGAGACAGGCAGAGTGGGAAGTGGGAGGAGATTTGAACAATGGGTAGAAACGAGGGGGAAGAGGGGAGCCCCCAAACCTAGCCGGGTATCCCCGTCTAAACTATATCTTGTACTTCTATCTTCGGTACTTCAATATATTTGCTTTTTGATTAGTAATCTTTGCAGTGGCTTCAATAACCCTCCGGAGGGTGAATATAAATACTATGTAACCTAATCTTGTTATTTACAAGATAATGGCCAAAAAGATGCAATAAAATATCCAGTTAGAGAGACGGTAATTTGATTAAGCGAGCCATGAGGAGGAGCACAAAACTCTTAATAATTTAAGAACACATTACATACAGCAATATACCAAAAACTTTTCAATTTAAAACAAAAATAAAGGCTAAACTTGGTACATTGCCATTAAAAGAAAACCTGAATCTAATCGGCTGAATCTAACTTATGCGAAGCAAAAATATACTATTTGAGTAGCATTTAGTAATGATCGCAGACTCCAAGAATATTTATAAGGTAAACCCATGCAAAACATTTACATAAATTAATCATTTATGAAGATAATATGTGGCAGGTATGCATAATTCCAATTAGGTTAAAAATAGACTTTAAGAAATAGCAAATTTTAAGTAAATAAGATCATGACGCTCGTTGCATTCACCACAGAGAACTGGGCGCCCAAACTCGGTGCCGGAAGGGTTACACGTCTCCCTTCGGTGGCACCATCATCCACTTGGAGTGCCAGGAGGGCCAGTGGGAGACGGTGGAGGCCCTGGGAGAGCAGCAGAAGATGGTGTGCCTGGCAGCATGCAGCCCGCCCTGCCAGAACGGGGGCACGTGTGTCGCTCCCAACACCTGCGAGTGTGTTCCAGGCTTCGCTGGGGACGCCTGTGAGATCCTCCCCCTTGCAGAAATGCGTTGCGGCAAGGACCCCGCCACCCCCAGGCGCTCCTCTCTCAGGATGTGGTGAGTGGCGTGGATACTGATCTCTGAGATGTAGTGAGTGAGATACATCACCATCTGGTGAAGAGAAATTCTAGATAGTGTGAGAGACATTATGATCAGGTGAGTGAGATATCACGATGGTGAGTGATGGGAACGTTACGATATGGTGAGTCACTTAATTATTTAGGTTTTTATATTTTCACTAGCAGTACCCGCCACGCGTTGCTGTGGTTCAGTCTGGTTAAATGGGAAAGAAAGAAAAGAGAGCGCACGTTTCGAATATGTTTAATTTCACAATGCTTGTGGGTATACAATATTTTTTGCTCCATTGTCTGTGGAGATAGAGAGATTGTCTAGTTTGCCGACTCTAGAACACGCAACATATAATTGTCCACGTGAGAAGCCATCCGTGTCTAGATATAAACTGCACAATTCTAAAGATTGGCCCTGAGCTTTGTTGATGGTGATTGCAAACGCCAATCGAATTGGCAATTACAATCTCTTATTGAAATAGCATATCTGTTGGAATCATAGGAATGCGAAGAATAAGGACATCTTCCCCTTTGAAAGGTCTTGTCAGATTGTTACTTCTATGACGTCTCTGATTAATTTTTTTACCGCAAGGCGCGTAAACCGAAATTAGGTCTCCTTCAATGCTGTCTACAAAACATTTGTTAAACCAAATTTGAAAAAGTACTGAAGTTTGGAACAAGATTGGCGTCATAGCAAAGGAGCTTAACTTACGAGGAGAGGCTAATGGAAGTAAATCTCTCAACCCCAGAGGACAGACACAATGAATGGGATTTGATGACGGCATATAAGGACAGCATCTTCTAACCGAGATAAAACTGGAATACATGACACAAGTGGAAGCTAGAAACGATAATGATTCAACGATAATGGTAATGATAGTTCAACATGTACAACAAGGCCAGAAGGCAGGGCATTACGGGGGAGCGAGGTCCAGCTATTAGACACAGATAGGCAAGTACTGATAGATAACAACTATGTCTGGTACTGTGTAAGTCTATCCACCATCAATGGTTTTATGCAAAATTTATCCATCATTCCTAGATTTTTAATAATTATCCATCATCCATTGTTAGTAAAATTGTCCCATATCCCGAGACCTGTACACAATTATCTACCACTACGGAAGTAGTTTGTTTTTGTTGTTGCTGTTATCTTGAGGTTATCTTGATTTCGGGGCTTTAGTGTCCCCGCGGCCCGGTCCTCGACCAGGCCTCAACCCCCAGGAAGCAGCCCGTGACAGCTGACTAACACCCAGGTACCTATTTTTACTGCTAGGTAACAGGGGCATAGGGTGAAAGAAACTCTGCCCATTGTTTCTCGCCGGCGCCCGGGATCGAACCCTGGACCACAGGATCACAAGTCCAGCGTGCTGTCCGCTCGGCCGACCGACTCTCTCCCTGTTGCTGAGAGATCGAATATAACTGATCTCTATTTTCTCTTTCTGTAACTCTTTTTAGTTTTTCCACTTAGTTATTGAGTTATTCTTTTTTTTTCCTCCCGCAATCCCAATTTCTCCTTTTCTTATTTTTCCTTGATTCTGGAGATATACTTAATTTCGTACATATAGCTTTTAGCTAATGAACTTATGTTATTAATATTTTTAATAACTCGTAATTTGTATGAACTCTTTCACTACTTCTGGCCCGTCAACAAACAAAACGGCAATTGTTGGTTTGCACAATTTTGGGCACCATCTATGATATGTGCTAAAATATCCACATTCATTGACCATGTCCAAAATTATCCACTCTCGTTAACCCTTTGCAAAATATTCCACACTCATTGACACTGCACGAATATGCACAGCTATTGAACCTGTGCAAAAATATATAGTAATTTACCCTGTACACACATGCACAATAACTGACCCTGTGTACAAATATACACAATAACTGACCCTGTACACAATAACTGACCCTGTACACAAATGTACACAATAACTGACCCTGTACACAAATGTACACAATAACTGACCCTGTACACAAATGTACACAATAACTGACCCTGTACACAAATGTACACAATAACTGACCCTGTATACAAATGTACACAATAACTGACCCTGTACACAAATGTACACAATAACTGACCCTGTATACAAATGTACACAATAACTGACCCTGTACACAAATGTACACAATAACTGACCCTGTACACAAATGTACACAATAACTGACCCTGTACACAAATGTACACAATAACTGACCCTGTATACAAATGTACACAATAACTGACCCTGTACACAAATGTACACAATAACTGACCCTGTACACAAATGTACACAATAACTGACCCTGTATACAAATGTACACAATAACTGACCCTGTATACAAATGTACACAATAACTGACCCTGTACACAATAACTGACCCTGTATACAAATGTACACAATAACTGACCCTGTACACAAATGTACACAATAACTGACCCTGTATACAAATGTACACAATAACTGACCCTGTATACAAATGTACACAATAACTGATCCTGTACACAAATGTACACAATAACTGACCCTGTACACAAATGTACACAATAACTGACCCTGTACACAAATGTACACAATAACTGACCCTGTATACAAATGTACACAATAACTGACCCTGTATTCAAATGTACACAATAACTGACCCTGTACACAAATGTACACAATAACTGACCCTGTACACAAATGTACACAATAACTGACCCTGTACACAAATGTACACAATAACTGACCCTGTATACAAATGTACACAATAACTGACCCTGTATACAAATGTACACAATAACTGACCCTGTACACAAATGTACACAATAACTGACTCTGCACAAAACACTGTTTTCGTGCAGATCTTTTTTATCTGTTTTGAGACAACTTTGACCGTTTGCTAACCTTAAATAATTATGAGTTCTTTCACTTGGTAAATAAAATTTGATCCAATTAACAGTAATTAAGGACTTGCCTGTTTGTCAGTGGAGCTGGAAGCCCCTTTATCTGTAAAGGCTTTTTTGGGGCCACCTGCCGTTTAATGTGACGATCCGTCAATGGCCGGTTCATTAATGGAGGAATACAGCTGTGTTTGTTCAGCAAACACCTACGGTAGTAGTTTGTTTTTGTTGATGCTGTTGCTGAGGGATCGAATATAACTGATCTCTATTTTCTCTTTCTGTAACTTTTTAATTTTTCCACTTAGTTATTGTTGAGTTATTCTTTGTTTTTCCTCCCGCAATCCCAATTTCTCCTTTCCTTATTTTTTCCTTGATTCTGGAGATAGTTAATTTCGTACATAAAGCTTTTAGCTAATGAATTTAAGTTATTCAAAATTTTAAATCCAACTAACCTAACCATCTTAACCTATCCAAGCAAAACCTAACTCGTCCAGATCTAGCCAAATGTAACCTAATCTAGCCCACCGTATCCCAGCCTAACCTAACCTGATTCAGCCAAGCATAACGCCTGTGAGGGCTGTTTCATGCCCGAACCCACATTGGCTCGCCTTGTTTCTCTTATATAAATTGAACATTGTATATTCCTGGTCATAAGAGCTCCGCGTAATATACATAATTCAGGCTAATGATATTCATAATTTCATAAATTAGGAAACGAGGTATGTGCGAACGCCTGTGTATTAAAGGTGATGTGATGTCCTGTTTTCTATTCGTAGATCCTTAGGTAGGTTAGGTTCGGGTAATTTGCTTAGACACGTAGTGAACTTTAGTGTGGACAGGCATGCTCACTACATGAATTACCCAACCTCTTCCCTCCCACAGGGAGGACGACCGTCGTCTCTTCTCCTGTGAGAAGGGTTACACGCTCAACGTCGAGGGCAACAGCCTGCTGGTGGAGTGCCGGAACAACACTTGGGTCTACCTGGATAGGGATGCCTACCAAGCCATCACCTGCGTGCCTATATGTCAACCTACCTGTGCCAATGGGGGCAGGTGCGTCGCACCCAATACCTGCCACTGTGAGCTGGCCTTCAAGGGCAGAACCTGCAATGAGCGCACCTGTATAGGGCAGCCTCCAGAGGTGCGCCGAGCTATCACTGTTCCGTAAGTGGTAGTGTAGTGTTGGTACCCTTGGTTCGTCTGCTGGGAGTGGCAACACGTGTTCCACCTCAATGTCTCTCTCGCCCGCGATTTCTGAAGTTGTTCTAAATTATCCAAATAATCATTACCCGAGACGTAATTTTTCTTTGCTAGACAGTCATGACAAAAGAATAGAAGCTGTGTTTTTTAATTATTCTTGCATATAAAATGGCATTAGAATTGTTGAGTACTTTCAAAATAGCTGTGGTTTTCTCACACTGCGAGTGAAAAAATAAATGAGTGAAAAAATTATTCACACAAACATTTTTTGTTTTACAACCAACCCGTCCTCAGATCATGTCCATTCCATCAAACGCTCGACCCCAAAGACGCATTCATCAATTTAACATGCTGTTCATTCTAAACAGAAATTTTCTCAAATATAAATTAATATTGTTATATATTAGCGTATTGTGCATATTTATTCACTGGTTAGGTTAGGTGTTTAGGTTCTGTTGGCGATTATTTGTATTTCTCAACCCATCCTCGACTCAAGTCCATTACATCCAGCAGTCGACGCATTCATACATTTTTACATGTTGTTCATTCAAAGCGGAAATTTTCTCAAATATATATTATTATAATATATTTCCATACTGTTCATATATAGGTTAGGTGTTTGGGTTCTGTTGCCGATTATTTGTAGTACGTGGGTGAAGCATTTACAGCGTTGTGGTTCGAACAAAATTCGTCAGTGAAGCACTTGTTCCGGAAGTGTTCGAACGTCATCAGTTGTTTCTTGTGTAAACCGTTTTTCATTCATGATCAGGGGGTTTGGTGGGTGCATGGAATCACTTTTGGGTCTGTTAGGAGGACGGGCTGTTACACACGACTCACAACTGATGACGTTCGAACATGTTCAGAACAAGTGCTTCACTGACGAATTTTGTTCGAACCACAAAGCTGTAAATGCTTCACCCAAGTACTACAAATAATCGGCAACAGAACCTAAACACCTAACCTAGCATATTGTGCACATTTAGGCATAAGTTAATATATTATATTAAATTATATTTGAGAAAATGACTGTTTTGAATTAACAGCATGTTAAAATTTATAAATACGTCTGTGGGGTAGACCACTGGATGTAATTTTTTATTTATAAAAAGTCAAAATACAAATCACAAACAAGGAGAGAACCGAAAAATAATACATAATCAGCACAAGAAGTCAAAAACACATGGCACAGGAAATAGACAAATTACAGCATGTAAAGGCAGAGAAAAACATCCACAAAACAGGAACATAAATACAAATACCCCTGTAATTGAAAAGGGTGGATAACAAATTACAAACCCGGGCACTCCAAACACTATACAGAGGTGCACAAAATACAATAACAAAAACGTACAATAAAATACACAATTACAACACACGTACAGAAATCCAACCACCCCTCTCCACACACACAAAGGAGCAGAACTGGACACAAATGAGGACACCAACAACAAATAAACAGTAAAACCAAAAATACACACAAGAACATAGATAACATAAAACATTTACAAAGAATAAAGCAATGACAAGTACATAGATATAAACACACACACACACCACCCCACATCAGACGCCGGCCACCCCAACACACGGGGTGCGCGCAAAAAACAGCTATAAAAGAACACCAAACACCCACAACTGCACTCTACCACAGCACAAACACCTATACAGAACAAAAGCAAAGCATAAAAAAGCCGCAATTACAACACAGGCCACGCAGTAGCCAAGAACAAACACCCACACCACACACACACACACACACGCACAGACATAAACGCCCAACTGTGCACGCAGGCACTGGGGAAACAACACGCACAACACAGTCAGAAACCAACCACACGGATCACTCATACTTCTCCGGGTACTCGCGAGCCGGAAATCGTAGGCAGTAAGCATCCCAAACAAGTTGGTCCGTTGCAGGAATCGCACGTCCAGGAGTCGCAGTAGGCCGAGGCATCAAATCCGGCACGCCAATGATGAAACACCGCACCCGCGGAACAAAGACGGTAGAAGGGCACCAGGGTACAGGACGCACTCGTTCATCCAATTGAACACACATATTGGCACCAGAATCGTCGACCACCTCACCGGACGGGAGGATGATAGGGAAGAGTTTCCTCCAAGGAAGCCGGTGACAGGGCAGCACCCCAGGAAGCACACCAGACTGCACAGCTGACCATCCATTAGGGAGCGCACTTCTTTCCACGCAGAGTCCCGCGGAGGGCGGCACCGCAGGCGCACCAGAGTCCCCACCAACCGGAATAGGACCAGGGTCTCCCCATCGCACATCCTTCAACAACACCACAACGAGATCGCGGTCACAAGGGGCAACCACCCACTGAGGGGAGCCACCAGCAGGGGGCAGTGTCCAACACAGAAGGCACCACAGGAGGCAACACAGCGTCGTCCATAGCATCATCCATCGCATCACGCTCCTCTCCCCACGTCCGGCGAGGTGACTCATCCCGAGCCGAACGACGGCGCTTAAAGAGGCCGCTGATCGTCGGAGCTGTCACCCCCAGCAAGCGGTGCCCCGTAAGAACCAACGGCCGGAGAAGGAAGAGACAGCAGGCGGAAGGGCAGACTCCAGCACACATGAGGTATGCAGCAGGGACGACGGAAGAGACACAGCAGGCGGAAGGGCAGACTCCAGCACACATGAGGTATGCAGCAGAGACGACGGAACCGGCATAGAAGAGACACGTGGGAACGAGAAAACTACCAGAGGTGACGAGGCAGAGGGCGGGGTGGGGGGGGGGGGGAGTCTCGCACACCACCGCCCCGGCAGGTTATCTTGAGGTTATCTTGAGATGATTTTGGGGCTTTTTAGTGTCCCCGCGGCCCGGTCCTCGACCAGGCCTCCACCCCCAGGAAGCAGCCCGTGACAGCTGACTAACTCCCAGGTACCTATTTACTGCTAGGTAACAGAGGCATTCAGGGTTAAAGAAACTTTGCCAATTTGTTTCTGCCTCGTGCGGGAATCGAACCCGCGCCACAGAATTAAGAGTCCTGCGCGCTATCCACCAGGCTACAAGGCCCCCTCAGTACATGTCCGTCTGCCGGAGAGGCAGGCACCACCCCAACAGCACCACCCAACAGCTCCACGGAAGCAACCGGCTACGGATGCACCTCCGCAACCACCGAACGTTGAAGATCCGAAGCAGGTGCCCCCAGGTCCCCAGAGCTCATCGGAGGGGCAGACATACCAAGGCCAGACAGATCAAGGCCAGACAGAACGCCTGCCGGAACCGCCGCAGGAACCACACCCGGCACCAGGATAGAGCGGGGATCCGCCGGGGACTCCCCACTCGAAGACAAGCAGGGAAAGTCATCCTCCAGAGAAATTGAAGGGGCCTCAGCACGAGAAGCGTCGCAGCTGGCCGCCATGTGGCCCTCAGCGCCACACCGGAAACAGGTTCGTGTCAGACCCTGATAAAATATCCGCAGAGAGCCCTCGAAACGAAACCCTGGAAGGAATAGGGCTCGTGACCTGCATGACGAGCGTACAAGCGCCCAGATGGACCCCTTTCAGCCGGTCTGCACTCAAAGTGGTGAACCGGTGCTTCACCACCATACCATACCGCATGAACACCGACATAAGCTCTGTCTCGGGGAAGGTCACCGGCACACCGTGAATACTCACAAAGGTCAAGGGCCCCCAGGGATCCGAGAATCCCACAGTCACAGCCGAAGCAAGAATAGGAAGCAAGCGTGCATCCCAGCGTGCCACAAACTCCTGGTAAATAAACGACGTGGCAAACGACACCGCCACTCAGGTAGGCGAGATCCTTTCCAGCCCCAATAGATCAGAGACGTCGACATGGAGCACGTCCAGGAGAGCAATCTCCACAATAGGCCAGTCCATTGCACCAGAAAAATCCAGCCAGACAGTATCAACTCGCCGAACATGGGTATCACCAGCTACAGCCATACTGCCAGCCGGATCCCCGGCTAGTGGGTGCTCCACACCTCAAATTGTACCCCGCCCCCCTCGCAACACCAGGCAGCAACTGGCAGGTCAGGTGAGCACGTCCGAACCTCCTGGTGACCAACGAAGCGATCCCCGCTGGATATAATGGACTGAAGTCGAGGGCGGGTTGAGGACGGGCTGTCTAGTGATGCCATCTGTAAAATATTACATGTGAAGCACCTTTTGGCGCAATATAATAACTTTTTGGAGATAAGTTGTGGGAGGAAAGATATGACAATGTGCCTGGGTTGGTCACTGTAGGTCAGAGGTGAGCAACACACACATGCGGCTCGTCATACGTCCGGCACCACATCTGATGTTGATGACTGCCAACATGCGTTGCTAGATGATTGGAAAAAAACACTTGTACAACAGCTTATATGATATACACTAGTTAAGGCAAACTGTTTTATTTCTATTAACACCTTCACAAACTCGGAAGCATAGAACAGACACTGAGAAAAATAGCAGGTTAGAGAGAGGAAGGAAACGTTGAGAAATATATAAAGCTTCACTCACTAACACAGTAGTTTGATTAAAAATTTAACCATCCCTGTTTTCCCTTGAATGCGATCTAACAGTTGCCTGGCATCCGGATCCCCAACATCTGTTGAGAACATTGCAACGAACAAAGTGAAAGAATGTTGTCTAGATAGTCAAACTCAGTCCAGAAATCGGATCTATAATCTCTTCTTGTTTTAGATAACCCAAGTGTTTCTCCTCACAGAACAGAAAACAACAGGACGTGGGTAGTCCGCTGTGACCCTGGCCACCTCCTACAGGGAAGGACCACGGAGGCCCTAGTGATCTGCCAGGGAGCCGAGTGGGTGGTGAAGGAGACGGGGGAGGCCCTGACGGAGGTGGTGTGTCGGCCGCACTGCAGCGGCGGGTGTCTGCACGGCGGGGTGTGTGTGGGGGCAGAGAAGTGCCAGTGTGGCGCTTGGTACGACGGGCCCTCCTGTGGCCACCACGTGTGTCCAGAGCTGCCCCTCCCGGAGATCACACACGCTTTCTTTTTCAGGAGGTGAGTTGGAGGGAATATGTTATTAATAAACTACTTGTCTGTTCTCAAATCCGTTAATGAACATTCCCCGCTCGGTTGCTCACTCTCTCACAAGGGCCTCGCGGATAGTGCTCGGGGATCGTAGTCCTAGTGACCTGGGTTCGATTCCCGGTGGAAACAAATGGCAAATTTTCTTTCACTCTGATGCACCTATTCACCTAGCAGAAAATAGGTACCTGGGAGTTTCCTATTATATGCAACGCATTACTGGGAGTGATGTGGTGGAACCAAACTCCATACACAGTTTCAAATGTAGATATGATAAAGCACGATAGGATCAGGAATTTGTACACCATTTGATTGACTGTTGAGAAGCGGGACCAAAGAGCCGGATCTCAATCCCGGCCACCAACACTAGGTGAGTACAAACATTAACACACGTGTTCCATGTTGAGTTCATGTTCAGCCCATCCTCCTGGTTTTGTAATACTTATAGTAACGATGAGGACCATAGTACATATACCGACGTACAACAAAATTATAAAGTAGAAATCTGAACTATTGAGTTGGATAAACATAAACTATTTTTTTACTTGTATTGCTTTGACCAACTAAACTAACCTTCCTAGGCCTAATACACGATATCTGAGGCCTAATATACTACATATGTGTGCTATACTAGGCCTAGGAATATTTGTTTGTTTTTCAGCTTTGTTTATTTAAGACTTCCTTACTAGTCAGTATACTACTATGTAAAAGCTAAGAACGTACGAATTCGTGACTATTGACGACCGTCACAATAGATACTATCTAAACAAGAGGAAGGGTTGAAATTTTGACATGTAAAGGGGTTCATAATTCATTTTAGATCAAGGTAGAAAGTCTTTTGAGAAATTCTCTAGAGTGTGATTCATGCAAAGCCAATGGATGTGTTGAGCAGCAGCCCTTATCACTCAGATAAGAGTCCTCGCTGAACGAGCAATGTCAATTTGTGGTGACCTGTTAGTGGTGACATCTAAAAATTACGTACTTAATTTTTTGTGAAAGAGATTATATACGTCACCGTAAATGGAGTTTTAAGAAAGCCATAAGCGGATGTGCAGTAATGTCGAGAGTGCAGGGATTTGATCCGTGATTCATGTTTTGGTGTTGGCCTTAATCCTTGTCAACCTTTGGAGGGTTATAAGACCACCACAGTCCTTTACTTACCAACCACCAGCTAGTCCTGAACAAAGCCCAGGACTAAATTATTCTATAGGTTTTATTTACTTCGTGATGCAGGGTACTACTCTTAGTGCATATATCCTTCTCTTGGGAGGCTTTTGTCAGTTCTATACATCCATTTATACGGCTCTAAGCGTTCATTTGGGCCTAATTAGTTAATTACCATTATCTTGCTGATAATTGCAACACTTGGCTGAAAGGACTGGTGACCATACAACACTAGGCAACAATGCCAACTTGGAGGGCAGTTTTCATCAACAGGTGCATCCCACTACTCCAGTGAATATACACCGAGTTACTCGACTTTGTCTAGATAGTCAATTCGCGACGAATTGACGTACGAATTAGTATGAACTACCGTCATTAGTAGTAAAGTGTGGAACTATGTTCAGGAATAAAACATACTTGCTGGATGGTCAGTAAGCTTATGTGGAACTACAGTACCAGTAGCTCATACTATAGTTTTGTGGATGAAAGGGGTCTGGAAAGTGGGATAGTCGGAAGTATAGTCTGGAGAGAAAGCTTCAGCGTTGCAGAGAGTAGAGTTAGGGCTCAACCCAGCAAGGACGAGGATTTTTGGATAGATAGCAGAATCAATTACACCGCACAAATCAATAGGCAGGGAGGGGGGGGCCGGGTGGCCAAGACGGCCGAGCAGAAGTCAGAAATCTTTTAATATTTCATTACAGCATTACTATCTCAGGGGGACTGTCAGGGCTTTATTTTTTCTGTTCATCGGTTTCTTGTTTTGGTTTCGTGTCTGTACACTCCACAGGCGACAGTGTAGGGTATCGTGGGAGATCCTCCATGATATTCTCTGGTAAGTCGATGGTGATCGCCTGGCCATTTCTGAGAGCGGTGTATTGACCAGTGGCTGGCCCTCAAACATAATCGTACGCACACGATGACATATCGAGACTGCATCTTCCGAGCCATACTCGTCTACGCCGGAGAGATCCTCGTATGGCGCCCGCTGTTCGAATCACACGTCTTAACGATTTACCCCACGTACTTCACATGCAATTAATTGCCGACAGAACCTAAACAACTTATGTAATCTGATTTAGGCCTACATGTATTCTGAGCTTTAATTTATAATATTATTTCGAATTTGAAAAATGAACGAATTTGAGTAGTACATTAAAATTAACGATGCATCTGTGGAGTTAGCTGCAGCTTGCACAAACATAGCCAGAGAACAGGTTGGGATCCGTTAATGTTAGTATTTCGGTTACATCTTGGAACCTGTTCCTGAAAACGAGCTAACGGCTCGGCTACGTAACGGCCACTATTATGAATATTCACCTACTAGGTGCATTCATCTGACTGTTTCATTGAATATTTTCAGTTTGTAATCACGGTTTTATTGTAAATAATTCTTACATTACCAATGAATTTAGGGATGAGTTGTACACGGCAGAGTTCCCAAGGATAGAGATCCGGTGCCCTACCAACCACACCTTCCAAGACGGCGTCAATTCTGCCTTCCTCTTGTGTCAAGACGGCGTGTGGAGGCTAAATGGGACCCGAGGAGACGCCTGTCTACCGGTGTGTAGCCCCACATGCACTAGCCCCCAGGTGTGTGTAGGCGTTGACACCTGCGGTTGTCCCCCAGGGCTCGGCGGGTCACACTGTGACCTGGAGATACAACCCACGAGCCTGAAGCTTGAATCTGAGGCCTCAGACTCTATCTGTGACTCGGATGTGGTTGTAGGAGACTCAAACATGGTTCTCAGGGACACAACGACGGATCCCAACACGTCAGACGCCTGTAGGGGTCCTCCACCGATGATAAGAAACGGATATGGAGAAATTCGGTAAGCAAAGAGAATTGTGTTTAACGTTAGCAATACATATTTAAAAGACCTTTTGTAGCTTCCTTTCAAGATTTAGGATGGACTTTGTGTTTTAATTTTAAGTAAACTTGATCATAAAGTAATTGTACTTCTTGCTGCCTACTAATCGAAGCAAACCAAAAATATATTGCAACTGAGGTAAACAATATACATCAAGACATGCATAGAGTGAGTAACTACATCCAACAGAGAATTCGAAATAATTCGTAGAGAAAAATTCTTGATTTAAAAAAGCTAAGTTAACTCTAGTTTAGAAATAGGATGGAAAATTTGCATAACATGTTTCTAAATGGCATAATAGAAATGTTTAAGCATAGGTTTCACAAATACCTAAGTGAGGAAGATTTTGAATATATGAGCTATTCACCTTGGCTGTTGGAGTCTCAAACCGTTGACCCCACTCGTATGAGCCCGAAGCTCTATCGACTCCTCTATAGAAGTGCGAACTCTATAGGAGTTTGAGACTCCTACAGCCCAGGTAAATGGAATGTTTTTTTCCACGGAAGTGTGGATGACAGATACTTTGCGTTGTCCTTGAGTACTTCTGCAGTTTCAATTACTTTATATCTCGGCTGATAAAACGGTGCATGAATTATCAAAAACAGCACATCAATACCTGGGGTCTTCTTATAGACCTGACACTAAAATAGGGGTCTTAATTAAATTCTACTCAAAATACTGCACTTAAACAAATTTTGTTAAGGTAATTTGGTTGTAAATACATTAACATTAACCCCCAGTAGGGTCCTCAGTGTTGAAAATAGCTGATGTAGAGTTTGCAATTTTATTTTGCATTAAAAAACATTACTTTTGTGGTGTTATGCCAATGAAACCATTATAAAATATAAATTCAAACATCACACACATTTAAAATTCTTCAAAATCATCTGATCATCTGAGGCAGAGAACTCTCCAAGCACATCGTCAGCCTCATTGCTTACACTGTGTCAATGTGGCTCAGGCAACATAGCACTCGTCCGTCATCAACCTTGTTGCAAACTACCTCTATAGATGACAGTCTGCTTATAATATTTGCCATATATGCCTCACTGATAACATTCCGATAATTCAAACGATTTACAGGTAATTCATTAAGTTATGATACTTTATTACTGGTAATATATTAGTCATTTAATTCTTGTACCAGTATATCACCATCTCGGTTGTTTGGTGCTCACCGACCTGAACTTCACTACAGTTGCTTGTCATAACGAACCAGCAACCCGTCCTTGACTCAAGTCCATTACATCCAGCGGTCGACCCCACAGACGCATTCATAAATTTGAACATGCTGTTCATTCAAAACGGGAATTTTCTCAAGTATAAATTAATATTATAATATATTAGCATATTCTGCATATATAGGCATAGGATAGGTTAGGTTAGGTTCTGTTGGCGATTATTTGTATTTGTAGTACGTGGGTGAAGCATTTATAGCGTTGTGATTCGAACAAAATTCGTCAGTGAAGCACTTGTTCCGGATATGTTCGAATGTCAGCAGTTGTGAGTCGTGTGTAAACCGCTTTTCATTCATAAACAGGGGGTTTGGCCGGTGCACGGAATCACTTTTGGATCTTTATTTGGAGGACGGGCTCCGAACCAGACTGTACTACCGGGACCCATAATACAGCTCGTCCTCCAAACAAAGACCTAAAAGTGATTCCATCCATCCGCCAAACCTCCTGTTTATGAATGGGAAATAGTTTACACACGATTCACAAGTGATTTCGTTCGAACACTTCCGGATGAAGTGCTTCACTGACGAATTTTGTTCGAACCACAACTCTATAAATGCTTCACCCACGTACTGCAAATAAAACTAATCTTCAACAGAACCTAAACACCTAACCCTAACCTAACCTTTGCTTATGTATGCACAATATGCTAATATATAATATTAATTTATATTTGAGAAAATTCCTGTTTTGAATGAACAGCATGTTAAAATTTATGAATGCGTATGTGGGGTCGACCGCTGGATGTAATGGACCTGATTCGAGGACGGGTTGCATATTATCACTGATACGAACTAAAACCATGAAACCGAGATGGATATTTACCGGTCATTTTATGTGAAAGACGCTTTATCTGCCGAGATCTACGGTTCTCTTATATTCTTACTCCCGAGAGTCCAAGTGGCTAGGCACTATTCCATCTCTCCGTTCTGTCCCAGACCCTTGTCCTCATGTTTCCTTCCAAGTGCCATATCGTTCTTCTGGCTCAGCACTCGCATGAATATTACCATACTTTGCCTGGTAAGGCCGAGGCTGGTGTGCGCTGCAAGTCTTTCCAGGTTCTGTAAACACCTGTCATTGCGGAGCGGTCTTTGAATCTTGTGTCCAGTCTATTAAAATCGCGAACTATTAGATTTGGAGATGTTAACTTAATACAAATTTATAACCAATTTTATTATACAATTATTTGTAACTATGAAGTTAACGTAAATTTTTCCATTATTCTAATAACTTTCTTAGCCTGCTTGATATTTTTAGAAATTTCAAGCATATAAAATTACAAAGTCCTGACCCGTAGAATTTATAAATAAAAGGTATTCCTCATAAATAAGATATATATAACTTTCTTTTTTACTAGTTAATTAGCATAATAGGAATATCCCCAGCCTAAGGGATCCTTAACTAGTGTGTTGGGTCATTACAGTGCTGCAGGGGTGGCGAATGTCCACTGTTTCCCAGGCTACAGGCTCCAACACCACGCCCCTGAGGTAAGGTAAATGGCGTTGATATAACAATGAAACAATCTCAATCCTTTATTGATTGAACATTGATCGAGCATATCTTATCCTTCTGTATATATGGGCAAATGCGTTGATGTTATAATAAATTAATGTTGTAAACGTTGACCCATTGGTTGATGAAGTTGTTGGTTAAATATTAATGTTGACCAGACCACACACTAGAAGTTGAAGGGACGACGACGTTTCGGTCCGTCCTGGACCATTCTCAAGTCGATTGTGATGAGGCAGGGACAGGCAATAAATAGGCAAGAGAGAGCTGAGGAGGAAAGTAAGGTGTAGGGGATAGTAGTAATAATGAGAACTGCAGAAGGCCCATTGGCCCATACGAGGCAGCTCCTATTATAACCACCGAAGGAGATAGTAATAGGAAAAAGAAAAGGATAGCAAGGGAGCGTAGGAGAAGACAATGCACAGAAAAAGGGAGAAGAGAGAAAGAAAGATAAATGGATTGGGTAAGCTTATGTTAAGTCACGTTTGTTAGAAAGATTAGAGCATTTGAGTATATACTGTGAAAGGGAAGAGTCCACAGCAACAAAGCCAGGACTCGAGTTCATGTTGGGTACATTGTGTATAAGAGCCGATTCTACAAGATGGCGTCTGTGTAGAGTAGAGGCAGGAAAGATTATTTTGGAGGAAGACCAATCAATGGGATGATTAGAATCCCTCACATGGCAGAAGAGAGCATTGTTAGTGTCTGCAGACTTAACACTTCTCTTGTGTTCTTTAAGTCTGTCATTCAGTGTACGGCCAGTTTCGCCAAAGTATTGGAGAGGACAAGATGAACAGGAAATAGAGTAGACACCAGCAGCGTTAGAAGCAGGAGGAGCAGTGTGAACTAGATTGCTACGAAGTGTTAGTTTGTCGAAAGGCCAGTTTAATGTCAAGAGGACCAAAGGTATTGGTAAAAGTTTTGAGTTCAGATATGAAGGGAAGGCATAGTACAGTGGTACTAGTGTTGGAAGCAGGTTTAGGATGAAAGAAATTTCGTTTAGCTTGAGAGTAGGCACAGTTGATGAAATGCAAAGGATAACCAAGGCGAGAGAATGATTTGTAGATAAAGGCAATTTCAGAATCAAGAAACTGAGGGTCGCTGATGCGTGGAGGAAGAGAGAGACGAGGACACTTTTCTTAACAGAAGGAGGATGGTAGGAAAAGAAGTGAATGTACATGCCACTATGCATGGGTTTACGGTAGACAGAGAAAGAGAACCCAGACACAGAGCTGTGAACATGAACATCAAGAAAAGGAAGTATATACTTCCTTTCACAGTATATACTCAAATGCTCTAATCTTTCTAACAAACGTGACTTAACATAAGCTTACCCCTTCCATTTATCTTTCTCTCTTCTCCCTTTTTCTGTTCATTGTCTTCTCCTACGCTCCCTTGCTATCCTCTTCTTATTCCTATTACTATCTCCTTCGGTGGTTATAATGGGAGCTGTCTCGTATGGGCCAATAGGCCTTCTGCAGTTCTCATTATTACTACTATCCCCTACACCTTACTTTCCTCCTCAGCTCTCTTGCTTATTTATTGCCTGTCCCTACCTCATCACAATCGACTTGAGAATGGTCCAGGACGGACCGAAACGTCGTCGTCCCTTCAACTTCTAGTGTGTGGTCAAACACAGGACAGAACACGAAACAATGGGTATAAATTGGATAAGTTTAGATTTAGGAAAGACTTGGGTAAATACTGGTTCAGTAACAGGGTTGTTGATTTGTGAAACCAATTGCCGCGTAACATTGTGGAGGTGGGGTCCCTCGATTGTTTCAAGCACGGGTTGAACAAGTATATGAGTGGGATTGGGTGGTTATAGAATAGGAGCTGCCTCGTATGGGCCAATAGGCCTTCTGCAGTTACCTTTGTTCTTATGTTCTTATGTTCTTATGGTCTGGTCAACATTAATATTATTTTTTTAGTATTATTATAATATTTTTTTTATTATAATATTATTTATTATTATTTTTTTATTATATTATTTTTTTATTATATTATTTATTTATTATAATATTATTTTATTATTATTATTATTTTATATTATTTTTTTATTATATTATTTTATTATTATTATTAGAATATTATTTTTTTATATTATGTTTTTATTATTATAATTTTTTTATTATAATAGTATTTTTGTATTATTATTATAATATTATTATTATTATATTTTTTTATTATATTATATTTTTATTGTTATAATATTTTTTATTGTTATAATATTATTATAATAAAAAAATATAATAAAAATAATATAATAATAAAAAAAAATATTATAGTAAAAAAATATTATAACAATAATAATAAAATATTATAATAATAAAAAATATTATACTAATAATAAAAAATATAATATAAAAATAATATAATAATAAAAAAATAATATAATAATAATAAAAAATAATAATAACAAAATATTATAATAGTAAAAAAAATATTATAACAATAATAATAAAAAATATTTTTTTATTATAATATTATTTTTTTATCCTTTTATTATAACAATAATAAAAAAAATATTATAACTAATAAAAAAATATTATAACAATAAAAAAATATTTTTTTATTATTATAATATTTTTTTTTTGTTATAATATTTTTTTTATTGTTATAATATTAATAAAAAAATATTATAACAATAATAAAAAAAAATATTAACAATAATAAAAAAAATAATATAACAATAATAATAAAAAAATATTTTTTTGTTATAATATTATTTTTTTATTGTTATATATATTTTTTATTATTGTTATAATAAAACAATAAAAAAAAATATTAACAATAATAAAAAAAATATTATAACAATAAAAAAATATATTTTTATTATTGTTATAATATATTTTTTACTATTATTTTTTTTATTTTTTTATTAAAATATTATTTTTTTATTATTATATTTTTATATTATATTATTTTTTATTATTATTATAATATTATTTTTTTATTATTGTTATATTATTTTTTTACTATTATAATATTTTTAGATAATATATTATTTTTTTATTATATTTTTTTATTATAATAATATTATAACAATAAAAAAATATTATAACAATAAAAATATTATAATAAAAAAAAATTATAATAATAATAATAAAATATTATAATAATAATAATAAAATAATATAATAATACAAAAATATTATATTTTGTATTATATTATTTTATTATTATTATAATATTTTTTTATTATATTTTTTTATTGTTATAATATTTTTTGTTATATTATTATAATAAAAATAATATAATAATAAAAAAATATAATAAAAAAATATTATAATAGTAAAAAAATATTATAACTATTTTTTTATTATTGTTATAATATTATTTTTTATTATTATTATAATATTTTTTTTATTATTGTTAAAATATTATTTTTTATTATTATTATTATAATAATAATAAAAAATAATATTATAACAATCATAAAAAAAATATTGTTATAATATTATTTTTTTTATTAGTTATAATATTATTTTTTTTGTTTTATTATAACAATAATAAAAAATATATATAATAAAAAAAATATTATAACAATAAAAAAATATTTTTTTATTATTGTTATAATATTTTTTTTATTAATATTATAACAATAATAAAAAAAAAATATTATAACAATAAAAAAAATATAATAATAATAAAAATATTTTTTATTGTTATATTTTTTTTATTATTGTTATAATATTTTTATTATTGTTATAATAAAAGAATAAAAAAAATAATAATATAACAATAATAAAAAAAAATAATATTAACAATAAAAAAATATTTTTTTTATTATTATTTGTATAATATTTTTTTTTACTATTATATTTTTTTTATTATTATTTGTTATTATTATTATATTATTTTTTATTATATTATTTTTATATTATATTTTTTATTATTATTATTTTTTTATTAATATTGTTATAATATTATTTTTTTTACTATATTTTTTTTATTATATTATTTTTTTATTTTTTTATTATAATATTATAACAATAAAAAATTATTATAACAATAAAAATATATTATAATAAAAAAATATTATAATAATAATATTATAATAGTAATACAAAAATAATATTATAATAATAAAAAAATATAAAAAAATATTCTAATAATAATAAAAAAATATTATAATAATAATAAAAAAAATATTATAACAATATTTTTTTTATTATAATATTATTTTTTATTATTTTTTTTATTATTGTTATAATATTATTTTTTTATTATATTTGTGAAAGCTGCATGAACGCGCATGCCATATATCACTCAGAACTTTTTGACCCGGCCAGGAATAGGACCCACGCCGTCCAAGATCACTCCTGAAAGTAGACAGTACCGTGACCACCGCACCAATGATCGTCTATAAGGACTGGTCAGTCTAGGAGCTTATTAACTAAGCTCCCTGACTGACCAACCCCCGACGACACTCATGGATCCATTTGGGTACAGTTTTTCATCAAATTCTGTCGCATGCACGGGCCGCTCTGAGTCTTACATGTGTGAGAAAGCTGCATGAGAAGCGTTATCGGCCACCAATTTGCAAAGAATCTCATGTCGCCAAGCTTAAGAAATGTCGCTCAATGCCAACCGATTGGGACCCCCGCCAATCGCATGCGAGTAAAACAAAACTGGACCACCTCCAAGAAATCGACCCCAATAACATCCAAACAGGACACAGAAAACACCGCCGGCAGCCAATCAAACCCAGGCACCATTTGCAAGGCACAGGCAGTTGCCATTCTGCAAGAACCGGACCACATCCCAGACCTCCGTACGACCAACCTCACCATCCAAAAGTAAACACTCCAACGCCGACAACCCAGGAGAACAGATCCCCAGAAAAAAAATTCTATATGTCGATCCCCCTCCACCCTCTTATAGAGATCTTCAAGCTCCCGCTGAGTATATAAAAACACACCATCCGTACTCGAGAAAAATGGCACCATCAGGCAGACGGAGACTAGTCAACAACACTGGCTTTACACAACAAAATCTGTGCAAACCTATCACACCCCCTATTTACCAACCCATACAAATACTACAATCTAGCCTGCAACACATTCAACAAGCCAAACCGTTCCGCTGACTTCCGCTTCGCTACAGAAAGAAACATCTTACACTCACCCTACCAATCCAAAATACAAGGAAAACTACTTTTCCGTTCAACCAACAAAGCCCACCGAACCAGTTCACGGACGTCGAGACAATGCAGTAAACTACACTTCAGTAGATAATGCAGTGGCGTAGCTCTGGTACACCGTTGACGTGGACTACTATTACGGATACAGTATATGTGCTGGTTGGTCACTCGGTTTATAGTCACGACCATATGACACTCTTGTCATTGGACCTTAAGCCCAACACCAAACGAACCCATAAGTCATTTGCATTTAAGACTTTGCGGAGTTTAAATATGTTTTTTTTCCTGCTAGTCAGTGCTTTTGTTTTGCACCGGAACACGTTCAGGCGTTCATTAAACATGCAATGTCTCGACAGATGCAAAGTAAACAAAGACTTTTATGTTTGCCCAATAAATTATCAAATATATAAAACTAGTTTTTTTTGTGGCCCACAGCTCACGTTGCAATGCGAGAATGGAACGTGGGTCATCCCAGGGTCGTCGCTCCCGTCTTCCCCAGAGGTCGTGGACGTGGAGTGTGCGCCAGTGTGCCGACCACCGTGCCCATGTGGGCAGCTGTGTGTGAGTCCCAACACCTGCCGCTGCCCACCCGGTGAAGAGGAAGACGCGGACGCCAAGTGTAGCAAGCCAAGCAACCTACTGGAGGAGGAGGGAGCTGGCTCCTCCCCCTCTGCTGCAGGACACATCTTTGGTGGAGCTGAGATGTGGGGTGGCAACGTGGACGCTACGGAGCTCTATGTGGCCACTGCTTTCGCTACTCCTGCTACGCCGCCCGCGAGCTATAGCACATCCACGACGCCCACGATCTATGGCACATCCACGACGCCCTCAACCTATAACACACACACGACGCCCTCAACAATTGACACACCAACGACGCTCACAAACTACGGCACACCTACGATGCCCACAAACTATGACACACCCACGACTTCCACAAACTATGGCGGCACATCTACGACGCCCACAAACTATGGCACACCCACGACGCCCACAAACTATAGCATATCACCGACGCCCACAAACTATGTCACACTTACGACGCCTACAAACTATGGCACAGCCTCGACGGCCACAAACTATGGCACAGCCTCGACGGCCACAAACTATGGCACACCCTCGACGGCCACAAACTATGGCACACCCTCGACGGCCACAAACTATGGCACATCACCGACGCTCACAAACTATGGCATACCCACGACGCCCACAAACTATGGCACATCACCGACGCCCACAAACTATGGCACATCACCGACGCCCACAAACTATGGCACATCACCGACGCCCACAAACTATGGCACATCACCGACGCCCACAAACTATGGCACATCACCGACGCCCACAAACTATGGCACATCACCGACGCCCACAAACTATGGCACATCACCGACGCCCACAAACTATGGCACATCACCGACGCCCACAAACTATGGCACATCACTGACGCCCACAAACTATGGCACACCCACGACGGCCACAAACTATGGCGGCACATCTACGACGCCCACAAACTATGGCACACCCACGACGCCCACAAACTATGGCACACCCACGACGCCCACAAACTATAGCACATCACCGACCCCCACAAACTATAGCACATCACCGACCCCCACAAACTATAGCACATCACCGACCCCCACAAACTATAGCACATCACCGACCCCCACAAACTATAGCACATCACCGACCCCCACAAACTATAGCACATCACCGACCCCCACAAACTATAGCACATCACCGACCCCCACAAACTATAGCACATCACCGACCCCCACAAACTATAGCACATCACCGACCCCCACAAACTATAGCACATCACCGACCCCCACAAACTATAGCACATCACCGACCCCCACAAACTATAGCACATCACCGACCCCCACAAACTATAGCACATCACCGACCCCCACAAACTATAGCACATCACCGATCCCCACAAACTATAGCACATCACCGATCCCCACAAACTATAGCACATCACCGATCCCCACAAACTATAGCACATCGCCGACCCCCACAAACTATAGCACATCGCCGACCCCCACAAACTATAGCACATCGCCGACCCCCACAAACTATGGCACACCCACGACGGCCACAAACTATGGCACACCCACGACGGCCACAAACTATGGCACACCCACGACGGCCACAAACTATGGCACACCCACGACGGCCACAAACTATGGCACACCCACGACGGCCACAAACTATGGCACACCCACGACGGCCACAAACTATGGCACACCCACGACGGCCACAAACTATGGCACACCCACGACGGCCACAAACTATGGCACACCCACGACGGCCACAAACTATGGCACACCCACGACGGCCACAAACTATGGCACACCCACGACGGCCACAAACTATGGCACACCCACGCTGGCCACAAACTATGGCACACCCACGACGCTAACAAACTATGGCACTCCCACGACGGCCACAAACTATGGCACACCTACGACGGCCACAAACTATGGCACACCTACGACGGCCACAAACTATGGCACACCCACGACGCTAACAAACTATGGCACACCCACGACGGCCACAAACTATGGCACACCTACGACGGCCACAAACTATGGCACACCCACGCTGGCCACAAACTATGGCACACCCACGACGCTAACAAACTATGGCACTCCCACGATGGCCACAAACTATGGCACACCCACGACGCTAACAAACTATGGCACTCCCACGACGCTTACAAACTATGACACACCCACGACGCTAACAAACTATGGCACTCCCACGACGCCCACAAACTATGGCACACCCACGACGGCCACAAACTATGGCACTCCCACGACACCTAAAAATTATGAGACACTCACAAACTTTCACTCACCAACACTGCCTGCAAACTACGAATCGCTTTCACCTCCCACAAGCTATGGCTCACTCACACCGCCCACAAGCTATGACTCGCCAATACCGCCCACAAGCTATGACTCGCCCACACCGCCCACAAGCTATGACTCGCCCATATCGCCCACAAGCTATGACTCGCCCACACCGCCCACAAGCTATGACTCGCCCACACCGCCCACAAGCTATGACTCGCCCACACCGCCCACAAGCTATGACTCGCCTACACCGCCCACAAGCTATGACTCGCCCATATCGCCCACAAGCTATGACTCACCCACACCGCCCACAAGCTATGACTCGCCCACACCGCCTACAAGCTATGACTCAACCACACCGCCCACAAGCTATGACTCGCCCATACCGCCCACAAGCTATGACTCGCCCATACCGCCCACAAGCTATGACTCACCCACACCGCCCACAAGCTATGGCTCACCCACACCGCCCACAAGCTATGATTCAACCACACCGCCCACAAGTTATGACTCGACTACACCGCCCACAAGCTATGACTCGCCCACAAACTATGATTTACCCACAAACTATGACTCACCCACAAACTATGACTCTCCCACAGTCTTTGATTCACCCACAAACTTTGACTCGCCCACAAACTTTGACTCGCCCACAAACTTTGACTCACCCACAAACTTTGACTCACCCACAAACTTTGACTCACCCACAAACTATGACTCACCCACAAACTTTGACTCGCCTACAAACTATGACTCACCCACAGTCTTTGATTCACCCACAAACTTTGACTCGCCCACAAACTTTGACTCACCCACAAACTTTGACTCACCCACAAACTTTGACTCGCCCACAAACTTTGACTCACCCACAAACTATGACTCACCCACAAACTATGACTCGCCCACAAACTTTGACTCGCCCACAAACTATGACTCGCCCACAAACTTTGACTCACCCACAAACTATGACTCACCCACAAACTTTGACTCACCCACAAACTATGATTCACCCACAAACTATGACTCACCCACAAACTTTGACTCACCTACAAACTATGACTCACCCACAATCTTTGATTCACCCACAAACTTTGACTCGCCCACAAACTTTGACTCGCCCACAAACTATGACTCGCCCACAAACTATGACTCACCCACAAACTATGACTCACCCACAAACAATGACTCACCCACAATCTTTGATTCACCCACAAACTATGACTCACCCACAATCTTTGATTCACCCACAAACTTTGACTCGCCCACAAACTTTGACTCGCCCACAAACTATGACTCGCCCACAAACTATGACTCGCCCACAAACTATGACTCACCCACAAACTATGACTCACCCACAAACTATGACTCACCCACAAACTATGACTCGCCCACAAACAATGACTCACCCACAAACAATGACTCACCCACAAACAATGACTCACCCACAAACAATGACTCGCCCACACCGCCCACAAGCTATGACTCACCCACACCGCCCACAAGCTATGACTCGCCCACACCGCCCACAAGCTATGACTCAACCACACCGCCCACAAGCTTTGACTCAACCACACCGCCCACAAGCTATGACTCAACCACACCGCCCACAAGCTATGACTCAACCACACCGGCCACAAGCTATGACTCAACCACACCGCCCACAAGCTATGACTCAACCACACCGCCCACAAGCTATGACTCAGCCACACCGCCCACAAGCTATGACTCAGCCACACCGCCCACAAGCTATGACTCAGCCACACCGCCCACAAGCTATGACTCAACCACACCGCCCACAAGCTATGACTCAACCACACCGCCCACAAGCTATGACTCAACCACACCACCCACAAGCTATGACTCAACCACACCGCCCACAAGCTATGACTCAACCACACCGCCCACAAGCTTTGACTCAACCACACCGCCCACAAGCTATGACTCAACCACACCGCCCACAAGCTATGACTCAACCACACCGCCCACAAGCTATGACTCAACCACACCGCCCACAAGCTATGACTCAACCACACCGCCCACAAGCTATGACTCAACCACACCGCCCACAAGCTATGACTCAACCACACCGCCCACAAGCTATGACTCAACCACACCGCCCACAAGCTATGACTCAACCACACCGCCCACAAGCTATGACTCAACCACACCGCCCACAAGCTATGACTCAACCACACCGCCCACAAGCTATGACTCAACCACACCGCCCACAAACTATGATTTACCCACAAACTATGACTTACCCACAAACTATGACTCAACCACAATCTATGACTCGCCCACAAACTTTGACTCACTCACAATCTATGACTCACCTACAAACGTTGACTCGCCTACAAACTATGACTCACCCACAAACTATGACTCACCCACAATCTTTGATTCACCCACAATCTTTGACTCGCCCACAAACTTTGGCTCACCCACAAACTATGGCTCACCCACAAACTATGGCTCACCCACAAACTATGGCTCACCCACAAACTATGGCTCACCCACAAACTATGGCTCACCCACAAACTATGGCTCACCCACAAACTATGGCTCACCCACAAACTATGGCTCACCCACAAACTATGACTCACCCACAAACTATGACTCACCCACAAACTATGACTCGCCCACAAACTTTGACTCGCCCACAAACTTTGGCTCGCCCACAAACTATGGCTCACCCACAAACTATGGCTCACCCACAAACTTTGACTCACCCACAAACTTTGACTCACCCACAAACTTTGACTCGCCCACAAACTTTGACTCGCCCACAAACAATGACTCGCCCACAAACTTTGACTCGCCCACAAACAATGACTCGCCCACAAACAATGACTCGCCCACAATCTTTGACTCGCCCACAAACAATGACTCACCCACAAACTATGGCTCACCCACAATCTTTGACTCGCCCACAAACTATGGCTCACCCACAAACTATGGCTCGCCCACAAACTATGGCTCACCCACAAACTATGACTCACCCACAAACTATGACTCACCCACAAACAATGACTCACCCACAAACAATGGCTCACCCACAAACTATGGCTCACCCACAAACTATGGCTCACCCACAAACTATGGCTCACCCACAAACTATGGCTCACCCACAAACTATGGCTCACCCACAAACTATGGCTCACCCACAAACTATGGCTCACCCACAAACTATGGCTCACCCACAAACTATGGCTCACCCACAAACTATGGCTCACCCACAAACTATGGCTCACCCACAAACTATGACTCACCCACAATCTTTGATTCACCCACAAACTATGACTTACCCACAAACTATTACTCACCCACAATCTTTGATTCACCCACAAACTATGACTCGCCTACAAACTTTGACTCACCCACAAACTTTGACTCGCCCACAAACTATGACTCACCCACAAACTATGACTCACCCACAAACTATGACTCACCCACAAACTATGACTCACCCACAAACTATGACTCACCCACAAACTATGACTCGCCCACAAACTATGACTCGCCCACAAACTATGACTCACCCACAAACTATGACTCACCCACAAACTATGACTCACCCACAAACTATGACTCACCCACAAACTATGACTCACCCACAAACTATGACTCACCCACAAACTATGACTCACCCACAAACTATGATTCATTCACAAACTTTGACTCGCCCACAAATAGTGACTCACCCACAAACTACGAGTCACCCACAAACTATAATTCACCGAGAAATAATGACTCACCCAGTAACTATGGCTTACGCATAAACTATGACATGCCCGCAAACTATGACTTACGTATAAATTATAATTCACGCATAAATTATGACTTACCCATCAATTATGACTCACCCACAGACTATGACTCACACATAAATGATGACTCACCCACAAAGGCTATCAGAATCATCACTAAAAGGTCCGCCAACATTGCCTGCCCGAGGACCTACCCATCTGTGACTCACGCTACAATCAGGTGAGTGACCTTGCCCGGGTTCCATCACACATTTACTCAACTACCTACGCATCTTTGATATATTATAACCGTCATATATAGTGATCAATTCATCATATATAGTAAATAATTATCAAAAGAAGGCACCAAACCGGGAAGTCTATGTAGCACCATCAAATGTGGTCTGTCTCCACACATGGGACAGAGAGAGACAGTACTGGAGCACTGGAGGGCACCATGCCCAAACCTCCAGCACTTATTACAGAGCCAAGGAGAGGGAATGTACTCCTGAACGGAGCACCTGGCACCAGCAGGAATGACAGAGGGCAGAAGGGTGCTACCATCAAAGGTAATCTTCACAACCCGAAGAGGATGGCGACGACGACCACGAGGGGGGGCGAGTAAATGAGTCTACCTGGAGGACAGAATGGCCCTGGGCTTCGAGGATATTGCCGAATATCTTTGTGGCAGTCCTGCGGATTCAGAACACCGGTTGCAACATAGGGTGGGAGGAGGGTAGTGCCAACACTGGCATTCAACCGAGCGTTCTTGGAGACCCGAACAGGTGTCTCGCCAAGGCAGGATAAGGCAGCTAAGCGGGAGGCTGCATCCTGAGGAGCAACAACGACATATGTGCCGAGACGGTTGGGGTTGAATCTAACAGAGGCATCAAGGTGCCCATGGAGGGAGAAATCGTCAGGAGGCGTAGAATCAAGAGCGAGGAGATCGAAGAACTTGGCCAACGAAGCTTGACCAAACAAGACTCGATACTCATTAGTACGGGAAGAAATCGAGCGAGTGTGGCCTTGGCGAGGACGGCGTTGAAAACCCCCAGAGAGAGAGGGGTTAAAAGGCACAGTAGTCACAACTAGAGACAGAGCCGTGCCAGGGGACTAGGTGGTCACCACTGGGGGCTTGGGGCTCGACCCAACCACAGAGGAGGGAGGGGAGCCAAGGGGAGTAGTCAGGAAGGTCAGAGGAGGAGTTAGGTCGGGGCCGAATGCAGAGACCGGGCTTCAGAGCCCGGTCTTCCAACATAGGCCTACTCGGGGGTCTGGTCGCCCACTCTACGAGCTCGAGAAGGTTTAAGAGGAACATTAATTGACATACAAACGAGGAAAGACTTTTATTCACGAATGTGCCCACATACCAACCACGGAACAACAATTAGAGTTTGGACACCCAACAAGAGACTTATTGGCGACCTTGCCGGGGGCCCCCCAGGGGTACGTCGTTAGTATACGCCCCACAAACGCCGCCTGAAGAACCGTCAGTCCGTCGAGATCGGGTTCAGTGACGAAAGGAGGATTGATAATAAAAGGGTCCCCTCGCTCGAGACGTCGGGTACTACAGTTCTACGGGTGCAAGAGTATGCCTCCTCAAACACCCGGCCGTCAAAACAAAAGAAGGCCGATAGAATGATAAAAAAACAGACAAAAGGTCGGCGGGAAATGACAATTTGAAAGAAGAGGGGGGAGAAAAATGTAACAAGAGGAAAAGTAAATGATGTCTTGCACAATTGGTAATGACAGCAACAGGAGCATACGGCTGCAAAAGCTCTGACAGGACTGACCCATGGAGCATCATATTCCGGTAGCAGCCCACTAAGTCCCCCTCACGGCGACAACGGGCCAGACAGATTTTTTTTTTCATTCAGTGATGTTTTTCATACAGTTGTGTTTTCTCGTTAATTATTTACCCGGTGGGATGTGTGTATCAGAATGTTTTTCCAATAATGTGTTAATGTTCCACCGTTGCTTAATACTTAATGTGTTCGGTACAGGAGCAGATGAGTCGTAATGTCTCAGGTACAGAAACACATGTGTCTTAATGTGTCCAGTACAGGACCACATGTGTATTAATGTGTCCAGTACAGGAGCACATGAGTCTTAATGTGTCCGGTACAGGACCATTGTTATATGGCATTGTAATATACGAGCGGTCGTTATATGACACTGTTATATAAGAGTGGTCGTTATATACAAGCAGTCGTTATATGACACTGTTATATGCGAGCGGTCGTTGCTGCACGAATGGAATGCCTCTTATGTTTCTCCAGCAAAATAATTCAACTGCATCCCATGTGTTTCTGTGTCATTGTTTACATATGAGTTAAGTATACTAGCAAGTTGTAAGAGGGAAAAAATTGGTTCTATTTTTGGTTTGGCCCAACGTCGATCATCCATATTTCTAATTTCTGAACAAAAAGTACATTAGCCTGAACTCTGGATGGACACATTTTGCCCCGAGGCCCTTCACCTGCCCCACACACATCATTTATTGAGTGTACAAAAAATAGTTGTCAGTGTGTTGGTTTAGAAAATATGTACCATTTCAACTTGAGTGAATTATTCCACATGTCTGTGTGTGGATCTGTGGGGATGAGGGTGTGTGTGTCGGAGTGTAGTCTGAGGGTTGTGCTTGCGCGGAGGGAGCGAGGGTTGTGGGCGATTGTGTGCGGAGAGGAAAGGGTTGTGGGTGAGGAGCGAGGGGAAGGTTGTAGGTGAGTGTGGAGGGAGGGGAGGGCTGCAGGTGTGTGTGTATAAAGGGAAAGAGGGGAGGATTGTGGGAGTTTGAGTAGAGAAGATGGGGAGGGTTGTGGGTGTGTTTTGTGGGGAGAGGGGTGGGTTGTGGGAGTGTGTGTGGGAGAGGGGAGGGTTGTGTGTGTGTGGCTGAGGAGAGGGTTGTTTGTGGGAGAGGGGCGGGTTTTGGGTGTGGGAGAGGGGAGGGTTGTGAGTGTATGGCTGAGGGGAGGATTGTGGGGTGTGTGTGGGAGAGGGGTGGGTTTTGGGTGTGTGTGTAGGAGAGGGGAGGGTTGTGGGTGTGTGTGTAGGAGAGGGGAGGGGTGTGGGTGTGTGTGTAGGAGAGGGGAGGGTTGTGGGTGTGTGTGTAGGAGAGGGGAGGGTTGTGGGTGTGTGTGTAGGAGAGGGGAGGGTTGTGGGTGTGTGTGTAGGAGAGGGGAGGGTTGTGGGTGTGTGTAGGAGAGGGGAGGGTTGTGGGTGTGTGTGGAAGAGGGATTATGCACACGTTGACAGCGCTAACTGAGATATTAAACAAATGTTTTAAATAAAACGTGAAGCTCTCTCGCTGCGACCCAACAATGCGAGCGGATTATTTTCTTAACCAAAGCAGAAACATTTTACTAACAAAACTGAATGTATTGGTAAAGATTCGTTTCATCGTGAGTTTTTTTTTTTTTTGTATTTGGCTTGATTTAAGCAAGTTGTAGCATTCACCTAACATTACTTGTCTATAGTGAAGTATTTACTTTGCCTTTGTCAAAATTATATTATTTGACTTGTACAGAATTATGCGGTTAGTTTTATTCGCGCGCGCGCACACAAAAGAGCCACAGCTCAACCCCCACAAACTCAACTAGGTGAGTACGCACACACATACCACCCACGCACACACACACGCAGACACACACAGACACACACACACACACAGACACACACACACAGACACACAGACACACACACACACACACAGACACACACACACACACACACACACACACACACACACACACACACACAGACACACACACACAGACACACAGACACACACACACACACACACGCAGACACACACACACAGACACAGACACACACAGGGCCCCCCTTCCCCCTACCCATCCAAGACCCTTCATGTTTACCTTCTCCAGTGGAAGCAACAGAAAATGGGGATGGACAGAAAAGAGTCGGCTTCAAGGTGATGTACACGAACATAGATGGGATTACAAGCAAGGCGATGGAATTTAGGGAAAGAGCACAAGAAGTAAACCCAGATGAAATTGGAATCACGGAAACAAAGCTCTCAGTAATCATAACAAATGTGGTGTTCCCCCAGGATTACACTGTAATAAGGAAAGAGAGGGAGGAAAGGGGAGGAGGCTGGGTGGGCCTACTCATGAGAAAGGAATGGAGTTTCAAGGAGATGCTTATCCCAGGTTGTGAAGGTTTTAGAGACTACATAGCAGGCACAATGACGATGGGACGACCTAGAGTAGTAGTAGCAGTGATATATAACCTTTCACCAAATGACAGAAGACCCAGGCAAGAGTATGACAAACAACATGGCAGTTAATAACATAATTGAGAGGGCAGCCTCTGCTGTCTGTATAGATCGGTCCCATCTGCTCATCATGGGGGACTTCAATCACGGAAGCATAGACTGGGAGAACAAGGAACCGCACGGAGGAGAGGATACATGGAGAGCCAAACTAGTGGAGGTGGCGACAAGGAACTTTCTAAGCCAACATGTCGGGGAACCCACTAGGATGAGGGGAAACAATGAACCAGCGAGACTCGATCTAGTCTTCACTCTGAATGACTCCGACGTAAGGGAAATTGACTTCGAGGCCCCAGTAGGAATGAGCGATCACAGTGTACTGACGTTTGAGTATCTGGTCGAAGAAGGGCTAAAGTCCTCGAGAAAGGGATCTGAAAGCAAAAGGCTAGCATTCCGGAAGGAAAATTACAAGGAGATAAGAACATTCCTAACGGATGTAACATGGGAAGCAGAGTTGAGGGGAAAGACGGCCCAAAACATGATGGTATGAAACAGGAGCCTTTCACCGACACCATACTATCACCAACAGATGGCGTTGTCTGTGTCTCCTCTAATACCTGGGAGTTGGAGTGCAGGTTCCTAGATGGCGCCAAAATAGCCACTCCACACTCAAACAACGGCGTTGATACCACAACAGTGTTGATGGGGGAAAAGGGGCGGCGATGACCGTAGGATCGGAAGTGGTTTCCCTGGAGTCAGAGAGATAACGACAGGTGTTGCAATCTCCCCAACAGCCTCTTCCCACGATGGTCCTGGCCGATGAAGCAGACAGCATTAGCATGGATTGTCTGGTGATGGGTTCCCGGAGCAGGTGTTGCCTGAGGATAGGTTGTCTGAGTATGTGTTGCCTGAGGATAGGTTGCCTGAGCATGTGTTGCCTGAGGATAGGTTGCCTGAGCATGTGTTGCCTGAGGATAGGTTGCCTGAGCATGTGTTGCCTGAGGATAGGTTGCCTGAGCATGTATTGTCTGAGGATAGGTTGTCTGAGCATGTGTTGCCTGAGGATAGGCTGCCTGAGCATGTGTTGCCTGAGGATAGGTTGCCTGAGCATGTGTTGCCTGAGGATAGGTTGCCTGAGCATGTATTGTCTGAGGATAGGTTGCCTGAGCATGTATTCTCTGAGGATAGGTTGCCTGAGCATGTATTGTCTGAGGATAGGTTGTCTGAGCATGTATTGTCTGAGGATAGGTTGTCTGAGCATGTATTGTCTGAGGATAGGTTGTCTGAGCATGTATTGTCTGAGGATAGGCTGCCTGAGCATATATTGTCTGAGGATAGGTTGTCTGAGCATGTGTTGTTTGAGAATGAGTGGTCTTCGATAGGCACTTTCTACGATTACGTCTTTATTCCCAGGGGCGGCGAGCTGCGTTGCCTGCGAGGCTACGCCCTGAGCGACGGGCGTGTGGTGGCCCAGCTGGCGTGTATAAGAGGCGCGTGGGTGGTGGAGGGGGACACCCGCGGCTGCCAGCCCCTCTGCCCCACGCCCTGCCTCCATGGGGGGCGGTGTGTGGCGCCTGGGGAGTGCCAGTGCCCGCCACACCGCCAGGGACCTCACTGCCAGCTTCCACGGTGTGGGTGTCGCTGGCCCCGTGTCGCTAACGCTGCCGTGGGAGTCAGGTTGGTACCTCACACTCATACCTAGCAAGGTTGGTACCTCACACTCATACCTAGCAAGGTTGGTACCTCACACTCATACCTAGCAAGGTTGGTACCTCACACTCATACCTAGCAAGGTTGGTACCTCACACTCATACCAAGCAAGGTCCTTACCCTCACATCCCAGCTCCTTACCCTCACATCCCAGTTCCTTACCCCTCACATCTCGGCTCCTTACCCTCATACCCTTTGCAAGTTTCACATTAATCCGGCTTAGTGCTTTTTCCTGATAATTTCGTTACTTATCTCATATCCTCAATCATCCTCCTGATAATTGTATTTAATGTTTCTTTTCTCCCTTTCTCAGCCTCCTCATCCTGCTCCTCCTCCTCCGCAGGGCCAACGGGACGCGGGTGGAGTGCGCCGAGGGGTACCAACTTCCCGCTGGGGAAACTTTCTACGAGCTTGCGTGTTTGGGTGAGATGTGGACCTCCCCGTGGGGAGCGACCGACCTGCCCGCCTGTGAGCCCCAGTGCCGGCTTCCCTGCCTCTTCGGGGGCACCTGTGTGGCCCCCGACACCTGTCTCTGCCCCCCGGGGCGCACAGGTCCCACCTGCGAGGGCACCACCTGCGCCGGTCATCCGGGGACAGTCTTCAACGCCCACTTTGCTATCAGGTAATGACGCAACGGGGGCTCCGATATCAGGTAATGACGTCACGGGGGCGCCAATAACAGGTACTGACGTCCCGCGGGGCTCCGATATCAGGTAATGGCGTCACGGGGGCTGCGATATCGGGTACTAAGTGCCTTCGGGGATGAGAGTAAGGGGATGCGCGTGTTTGTGGGCGCGTGTTTGTGGGCGCGTGTTTGTGGGCGCGTGTTTGTGGGCGCGTGTTTGTGGGCGCGTGTTTGTGGGCGCGTGTTTGTGGGCGCGTGTTTGTGGGCGCGTGTTTGTGGGCGCGTGTTTGTGTGCGCGTGTTTGTGTGCGCGTGTTTGTGTGCGCGTGTTTGTGGGCGCGTGTTTGTGGGCGCGTGTTTGTGGGCGCGTGTTTGTGTGCGCGTGTTTGTGGGCGCGTGTTTGTGTGCGCGTGTTTGTGGGCACATGCACGTTACTGACCCTTGCAATGATGTGTGCAATGTTACACAGATTGCCACACATCGTCGTAGTCCTCATTTCTCCTACTCTTTTGACCTCTAATAGGTCACCTTCTGACCTCTAATAGGTCACCTTCTGACCTCTGTTAAGTCATCTTCCTACCTGAGTTGTTAGAAGGGTCGGGGTGATATAAGTAAATTTTACGGGGCTATATATAGCTTTTTCCGTGACCATTGTTCCCGGCTTGCTACTACGGTCAGTTTTGAGCGTTACTGGAGCAGTGATAGTGTTGGAAGGTCAGTCTTGAGCAATAGTGGAGCATTGTCAATCGTCGAAAGCTAATCTTAAGTATTTTGAACCATTGAAGCCCAGTTTGGAGCTTCATGAACGAAGTAAGAGCAGTTTAGAGACTTTTGAACTTGGAAGGTCAGTTTGAAGCATTCTGAACCGTGAGAAGCTAATATGAATAATTTTAAACATTTGAAGGTCAGTCTGGAATACTTGTGTAACATTTTGAGCCTTGAAAGATCATTCTGGAGCATTTTAATTTTTAATTGAAGTAAGACTTATTTTTAATTATCTCTATCAACATTACCTTCTACTTATTGTTCTTATCCTTCTTAGTCTCTCCCTTTTCTCTTCTTCTCTTCCAGATTATTTGATGTATGTAGTCTTAGAGTGAGTGTGAGCGAGGGAGAGAGATAGAGACAACCATACATACACAGAGAGAGAGAGACGCTAATTACCTCCCACATGCCCTCAGGTTACCCTTGAGATATTAGTGTCTATAACATGCAAGGTTCAGGGCCGAGTGTAAGTTCCCAAACTTCACCAGCAGTTTACTTCTCACCAAAAAATGCGGCTTTGCGCACCCAGACGTGATTTGTCTCCCAAACACGTATTTCGCAGTAACTGCTGAGGGTGGCGGCGGCCGTGTGCACCACTATTCACGCACGCCACTCTCACCCAGTGCACACGCCCGCCAGCCACGCCCAATATCCACACCTTCCACCCACGTCCACCGCTCACCCTCGTCATCCACACCCGACTCTCAAGCCTGTTATCCACACCCACTGTTAATGCCCTTTACCCACGCCCACAACCACCACCACTCCCGTATGCCACCTCCCACCCCCTGCCACACGCCACCTCCCACCCCCTGCCGCACGCCACCAAACACCGCTGACCTGCCCCCCCCCCCACTCAAAAAATATATGAGGAACGCCGCTTTCCACCAACCCGTGAGAGAAGGTAAAACAAAGGTTGATGCTGGTGAAACCAGAGAACAGAAAATGGGGAATTAAACAACGACTTTCAGTGGATTTTCCTTAGTTTGTGAAATAGTGTTGTTGGGGTGGGATATATATAAACCTTTTGGTGTATATTCCACGCTTCTCGTTGTATATACACTGATAGTTAACGTTCATTCTGGATTATGTTCAGGACTACAATATACTTGCTGATTGGTCAGAGAGCTATGCCGTTGGCCTTGAAACTTGTCAAGGTCCAAATGACTTCAGTTCAACCCCAACCCCAAACCAGCGTTTTCCTTCTCCCTTCACAACGGGGCTCTAGTCACCTCTCATCAGTTACACTCGCTATCATATAAATTGGTGGGTTATCTTCCAGGATGATGCAATAATAGCTAGTTATTTGCCTACACGAGCGTCATGGATAAGGCGGCGTATATTGCACCTCACGTCGCTAGAAGACACATAAGTTTGGGGAGACATGATCACCACATACAAAAATCCTAGAGGAATTTAATTGCTGTTGTTATTGATTCAGCTACTCGGAACAAGTTCCAAGTAGCACGGGCTTTGGTGAGCCCGTAACTCACCTGGCACAGGAGCGAGGCAAGAAGCACGGGCTATGGTTAGCCTCGTGGACGGGAGATGTCTCCCGTCTCCTGCAAGTCTTTCCGCTAGTTTGAATTTAATTGGTAGATAAGGATTATTTAACGCGGGTGGCACTCGTACAAGGGGACACAGATGGAAGGTGAATACCCAAATGAGCCACAGAGACATTAGAAAGAATTTGTTCAATGTTAATGTATTTAATGAATGTAATGCACAGCTATGTGGTGGACGCAGACTCCGTACACAGTCTTAAATGTAGATATGAAAAAGGCTAATAGGCTCAGGAATCTATTTACCAGTTGATTGACGATTGAGAAGCGGAACCAGGGACCGAAAGCTCAACTCCCAATCAACTGGGGAACAGATTACATGTTTATTCCATGTATCAAATCTGCAGATTCCATGTATCATATCTACATGGAGCAGGCTGGTTGGGCACCAGCTTAAGTGGTGCCCAACTACTTGGGCTGTAGGGTATTGCGACGATCTCACTTCATGCAGGTCGGTGTTCCGTCTCCGACCATACAAGTGGTTGGGCACCATTCCTTCCCTCCGTCCCATCCCAAATCCGTATCCTAATCCCTTCCAAATGCTCTATAGTCGTGATTGCTTGACACATTTCCCTGACAGTACCTACCCTTTCAACCCCTGAAAGATCAACTAGGTGATGACACACACACACACACACACACACACACACACACACACACACACACACACACACACACAAAGCTGAAGGAATGGTCAAACAAATGGTTGTTAGAGTTTAACCCAAGCAAATGTAATGTAATGATGATAGGTGTAGGGAGCAGGAGACCAGATACAAGGTACCATCTGGGAGATGAAATACTTCAAGAGTCAGAGAAAGAAAAAGACTTGGGGGTTGATATCATGCCAGACTATCTCTTGCAGCCCATGTCAAGAGGATAATATCAGCGGCATATGCCAGGCTGTCCAACATAAGAACGGCATTCAGAAACTTGTGTAAGGAATCATTCAGAACTTTGCATACCACATATGTTAGGCCAATCCTGGAGTATGCTGCCCCAGCATGGAGTCCATATCTAGTCAAGGATTAGACCAAACTGGAAAAGGTTCAAAGGTTTGCCACCAGACTAGTACCCGATCTGAGAGGTATGAGCTACGAGGAGAGACTACGGGAATTAAACATCACTTAGCTGGAAGACAGAAGAGTTATGGGGGACAAGATCACCACATTCAAGATTCTCAAGGGAATTGATAGGGTAGATAACGACAGTCTATTTAACACAAAGGGGCACACGCACTAGGGGACACAGGTGGAAACTGAGTGCCTAAATGAGCCACAGAGATATTAGAAAGAACTTTTTTAGTGTCAGAGTGGTTGACAAATGGAATGCATTAGGCAGTGATGTGGTAGAGGCTGACTCCATACAGTTTCAAGTGTAGATATGATAGAGCTCAATAGGCTCAGGAACCTGTACACCTGTTGATTGACGATTGAGAGGCGGGACTAAAGAGCTAAAGCTCAACCCCCGCAAACACAACTAGGTGAGTACAACTAGGTGGAGTACACACCTCACCCCATCATTACAAGCATCAGGAGATGTAACATGCGTGTATGAACCACGTCAATATACGGGGAGTCACACCCATTAAACAATGATACACTAGTGAATAATTCATATGCGTGAATAACCAGGCTCGTAATTATATGAAAATAAATGCATTGTTGCATTCATTATTCCGGACAGCTGAATGCATCTATTTAATGACAATTAAAGTGCCATTCCACATAAAACTATTGTTATGTAAAACGAAGCAAGATAACTTGGCGTGTGTTATCACGCTGCTCCTAACTTGAGCAGATAAATCAGTGGATGACATACAGTGAATGACAGGCAGTGGATGACTGGCATTGGATGACAACAGTGGATGACATACAGTGGATGACATACAGTGGATGACATACAGTGGATGACATGCAAGGGGTGGCATGCAGTGGATGACAGTGATAACATACGGTGAATGACATACAGTGGATGGCAACTAAACAGTGTGCAAAAAGACGTAGTTCTCCTCTCAGTTAAGAAGTATATGAACTTGAAGGTGAATTATTGAATGTCTGGCGTTATTCATGATAATATTGGCAGGTTTTGGTCATGAACTGGACTTGTAAATTTGTTGAAATTATTACGTTTTGGTAATGTTTATTTTGTTAAAAGTTGACAAAAGAATTGATACCTGTAATTGTGCCTTTTTGTAGTTTTTACTTTTTAAATTGTTAACATTTCAAATTTAATTTTAGAATGGTTAAAATTTGAGAATTATTTATAATTATTTAAATAATTTATATTTATATTCACATTATTTATATATATACAAATATTTACTGTACTTCATAAACCCATTGTTTCATTCCATTGGCATAAAATTAACGTAACGTTGTTTGTAATCTAATATTAGAACTTACTTACATTTCTGTTGAACATATTTACATCAGAGAAAGCATTGTTCTACCATTGACTCGGAGTGTAATAACCAACAAAGCCGATTTGGCATCACCTAAACCATCGTCCCTTTCCATATTAAAATACTTTTTGGATGCAAAAAAAAAAAAGTCAAATGGAAACATCGGATTTCAGAAATAGCCATCCTGATGAGGGGGAAAAAAAGGCGTCTCGGAGTCAGTGTCAATGTAATGTCAGCACTGTGGAGAAATGCCCGACAGACCACTGGAAC